TATGATCTGCTCAGGTCCCTTCCGACCCTACAAACTATGCAACTATCATGGCAGAAGGTGGCTAGTGGCATTGCTAGGGGTTCAGTACTCAGACCAGTGCTCTTCAACATGTTCATCAACGATTTGGATTCGGGAATTATAAGCAACCTGGCAAGGTTCGCTGATGACACCAAACTATGGGGGAGTGTGGTCACACTCGAAGACACAGGCAATGCAGGCCAACCTGGACAGGCTTGTGAAGTGAGCAGACCTCAACCTGATGTTATTTAATACAGAGAAATGTAAAGTGCTCCATCGTGGGAAAAACAATCTACAAACACACTTACAGGTTTGACAGTGGGATGCATTCATCCACCATGGCAACTTGAGCAAGACAAAGGATGTCATCCTCCCACTCTACTCAGTCTTGGTGAGACTGCAATGGGAGTAATGCGTCCAGTTCTAGGCACCTCCCTTCAAGGATGTGGAGAAGCTTAAGAGAGTCCAAAGAAGGGCCACATGCATGATTAGAGGCCTGGAGACCAAGGTACACGAGGAAAGGCTGAAGGACTTGGCGCTGTTCAGCCTGGAAAAGAGAAGACTCAGGCAGGACAGCCTATAAGTATATCAGGGGTGTGCATCAGGGTTTAGGGGAGCATCTATTTACCAAGGCTCCCCAGGAGAGGACAATAAATAATGGGCACAAACTGACTGTAGAATACTTCAGGCTAGACAAGGAAAAGTTTCTATACGAGCCAAGTGACAATGGTTTAGAACATGTTCCGCCCCCCAAGGTGCAGATGACACCTTGTTTGCAGCTAAGGGGAAGAGTAGATGAACTGAAGGATAGGGCTGGGATTCAGAGCAACCTAGACCAATTGGAGGATTTGATCAAAAGAAAATCTCAAGGTTCAATAAGGACAAAAGCAAAGTCCTGCACTTAGAATGGAACAACTCCATACACCAGTACAGGCTGGGGAACAACTGGCTAAGTAGCAGCTCTGCAAAAAAGACCTGGGGGTTACACCAGACAATAAGCTAAATATGAGCCAACAGTGTGCCAGTGTTGTGAAGGTTAACACCATACTGGGCTGCATTAGTAGAAGTGTCACCAGCAGATCGAGGGAAATAATTATTTCCCTCTATTCAGCACTGGTGAGGCTACATCTGGAGTACTTTGTCCAGTTTTGGGCCGAACACTACAGAAAGGATGTGGAGAAATTGGAGAGAGTCCAGCAGAGGGCAACAAAAATGGTTAAGAGGCTGGGGAATGTGACTTCTGAGGAGAGGCTGAGGCAACTCAGCTTATTTAGTCTGGAGAAGAAGAGACTGAAGGAGGATTTAATAATAGCCTTCAGCTACCTGAAGGATAATTAGAAAGAGGGTGGAAGTAGACTGTTCTCAACAGAGACCATTGCTCTGCCACAAGTTGCAGCAAGGGAAGTTTTTTGGTTAGATATAAGGGGAAAAATTCTCTCACTAGAGTGTAGTAAAGCACTGGAAAAGGCTACTCAAAGAGGTTGTGGAATCTCCATCCTTGGAGTTTTTGAAGACCTGGCTAGACAGAGGCCTGGGGATAGTCCCGCTTTAAGCAGGGGGTTGGACTAGATGATCTCCTGAGGTCCTTTCCAACCCCAATTTTCTATGATTCTATGCAAGTGAGCTCAAACCTGGAAATAGTTGAAAAAGTTAGTACTCACTTACACCATTAGGAAGTTAGGCATGTCAAACTAAAAACTATTATGATTAGCACTTCCCTCAATAGATTCCTAAGGTTTTACTTTATTTAGCTTTTTGTTTTGCTTTGCTTTTTTTTTTTTTTAAGTACTTACCAAGATCTGTGTTTGGGCCAGCAAGTAGTTGCTTAAATTTATCTAATCGGGATGCTTCTCTTTCAGTTAGTGCAGCAGTAGTTGATATTCTATAGTCTGTCATTCCACCCACCGGCAGTACTGTGGGATCATGGGGAAGGGACTGGGATCTCTGCATAGAAGAATTTTCACTAGCACCATCTACAGCAAAAGAAAAAGAATACTAGTTATTCTCCATTATTTTAGATTTATTGAAAGTCAGTTCATGTCAACAGTAACTTAATATCCACCTACAATCATATTTAAATAGAATGGAAATTTTAAAAGAAGTTTCCTCCAGTAAACTTCAAACCTCCAAGTCTTAACTGCATGTAGTTTCTTAGGCTAAGTAGAGAGACAGAGGCAAAGTTCTTCCTGCATCTGTATTTCAGGATTTTGGAGTAAATCAGTTCAGAGCTGGCACTTCTTCAAAGGTCACAGTCCATTTCACATTTTGTGGGGTCATTTATTGTTAAAGCATCTTGCTACTAAAAGCTACTGACAACATTGAGACAGTGGGAGATATGAGGATTGAGGGTAATCTAAGAGAGAGTGATCATGAGATGACAAAATTCATTATCCATCATAAGGCAGGGAAGTCAGCCAGTAGGGCAGAGGTGCTTGACTTCAGGAAGGCAGACTTCAGTGAGCTTAGGAAAATAGTGGGAGAGACTATTTGCGAAAAAGGGACTGGAGGGGAAGGGAGTTCAGGAAGGGTGGTTGTTCCTCAATCAAGCAATCCTCAGAATGCAGAAGAGGTCCATTCCTGTATGCGGGAAAGATGGTAAAGGGGCCAGGAAGCCCTCTTGGCTTACCAGAGGAGTCAAGGAGTGCTTAAAAAAAGAAAAAGGAGGCTTACAGAAAGCAGAAATAAGGGGTAGTCACCAAGGAAGAATACAAAAATATAGCCCGTATTTGTAGGGAGAGGATAAGGAAAGTAAGGGTGGCAACCGAGATCAGGTTGGCGACTGAAGTCAAGGACAATAAGAAGTCCGTCTTTAGGTCTATAGGGAGCAGGAGGAAGACCAAGAGAAATGTGGAGCCCTTGCAGAATGGGACAGGACAACTGATAACAGACAGGAGAAAGCTGAACTCTTTAATTAATACTTTGTGTCAGTGTTCCTGCATGCAAATCATGGTTGCCTGCCTGGTCAGATACTGGACAAAAAAAAAAAGGGGGGGGGGGGATTGCCAGCTAATGGTCAGTATCGAACTGGTGAGGGAGCACTTAGAGCAGCCAAATGTCTTCAAGTCAGCAGGACCAGATGGACTACACTGCTACCCAAGACTGCTGAGGGAATTGGCTGAAGTCACTGTGGGACCATTGGCAAAGGTATTTGAAGGCTCATGGTGCTCAAGAGAGGTCCCGGAAGACTGGAAAGGGGCCAATGTGGTGCCAATCTTTAAGAAGGGGAAGGAGAATCTGGGAAACTACAAGCTGATCAGTTTGACCTTGACACTGGTTAAAATTTTGGAAAAAGTTATCAAGAAGCCCATTTGAGAGAGACTGGCAGAAGGCGTGATACTGAAGGATAGCTAACATAGTTTCACTGCAGGCAGGTCATGTCTGACCAACTTCATCTTCTATGATCAAGTAATGAATTGCTGAGATGTTGGAGGCATGGTTGATGTCATTTACTTGGATTTTTAAAAGACTTTTGATATGGTTTCACAAAATGGTCTTATAAAAAACAGGGGGATTGTGGGCTGCAATGGCCATAAACTGTTAGATGAGGGTTTCAGATTGGATGCAAGGAAGAACTTCTTTACAGTTAGGGTGACCAGAATCTGGAACAGACTTCCAAGGTTGGGGTACTACATCACCTCCTTGGGAAGTCTTCAAAGAGGAGACTGGACAGACATCTTGCTGGGATCATTTGATCTCAGCAGTATTCCTGCCCAGAGCAAAGGGGTTGGACTCAATCTTTCAAGGTCCCTTCCAGCTCTTAATTTCTATGATTCTATAATTCTACAAGTGTAGAATGTGTAGCACAAAGTTAATTCAAACATTATTATGTAAGAAATGGAGACTCAAGGAAAGAAGGCTGCATTGCCTCACCATACAAATATCCCCCCTCTCCCTAACACCAACCACCACCTTCATTTTCTCTAGTTAAATCAGGCAGGTTTTTAAATATTATGATCAACAGAAAGTAAAAACCAAAGCACTGGAAACAAAAGTGTGAGCTTATTTTTACTGTTTACAAGCCTCTCTCAAATACAGTATCTAAGCACCTAATGCATACTAACTTTTTTCTCATAACGCTTTTGTGAAAAAGGAAATAGTTACCCCCTTTCTTCAAGAAAGATAACTAAAAGACTTAAAAAGTATATATGTGCTTTGAACTCCTAACCAAAAGTACAGTGCTAGAAAAAGGGAGGATTATTGGAAACAGGAGGCAGAGGAAACCAGGCTTTTACCTTCCTCTTGATGATACCCAAGGCCTTCTACAAGTACAGGAGTTTTAAAACAGGTTATATCTGCATGTTAAGGAAAAATATGACCAAAAGTAGAACAAGCATTTTAAAAACCAGATCCCAGTTAGCAACTTGGTTCGGTTACTACAATAAAGGTTCCCATTTCCCCCTTAAAGAACAATTATGTGGTTTAAAACACTGAAACAAGAAATCTTCTATTATCCTTCCTCTCTCTTGTTTTTGACATG